AAAATTATAGATTATATAAAAATCACTCAGACTTTGGAACATCTCAACATCAGCTTCCACACCTTTACTGGAACAAGAACGCACCACAAAAACTGTTTTAAAAAAATATTTCTGGAATAATGCCTAAAAGATGCTATTTTTAAAAATTTGACAAAAAGAAAGTTCCGTGTGAGAAAAGTGAAGTAGTTTACACAAAAATTAGAAGATACGTATCAGAAATTCCCTATTTACTTTATTTAACTAGACAACACACAGGAAGGTAATTCTACTTTTCATGTAAACAACATCTTCAGCTTCAATGTTAAGACTGAACATACAGAAAAACTCGAAGCCGCCCTACCCGATTCTTTAAATGCCAGAGGTATGGGTATACCCAACACAAAATGTCTTCAAAATTTCGTTATAGCTGGATATCTTAGCAGTGTAACTTAAACTTGGTTTTGAATTTGAAAGTTTACTTCAAATAAATTTGGAGTCGGTATCTTCACTTGCTTCTTAACATTCTTCTTATTAATATCGTCGAGTCTTTTTTGGTATTCTTGACATCCAATATGAGCTTACATGGATTTGCTGGCAAAAAACGCATCTTGGGGTGTCCTCTTTCTTTAGAGTGCATTCATTAGTTCGGTGATCTTTACCGCACTTACAACATCTAACTTTGTGTTTCGGAACGATGAGATCAGCGGACGCTGTTGGATTTACGACTGCGCAGCAAACGTCCCACTCATGTGCCTCTGTTTACTCAGCGTCATATCAACTACGCCTACAGTGGGCCTGGGAACATCGTCATTGGACCATAGATAGAGGAAGACCGTTGCCTGGTCGGATGTTTAGTGTATTTAATGATGGCAAAGCACACTAGGGCTATCTGCTTAAGGGGAGGGATGCCTTCGTGGAGGACTTTCTAAGGTAAACTGGCTCGTATACACGTTACACATGGGGAAAACCACGAAAACACCCATGCAGCCAGTCCATTCGCGGGATTCGAACCTCGGACCGAACTACTAGTGTTCAGCGGCTTTACCGCTTGGCCGCTGGTGGGCCTCCTGGTCGGATGAATCACGATTTCTCATGCCTCACGTCGATGATCGTGTCAGGGCACGCCCAAGGTCCGTACAGTTTGGGGCACGCCGTCTTCCACGCAAACAGTTGCTCCCCCTTCCCTGTACAACAGGTCATACACTGGCTGGGGGTTGGCGGTATTACGCTTTGGGAGACTTTCTCATGGACGACTCTGGGATCCTTAATTCTGGTAGAATAGACCAAGAAAGCTGCCGGCTGCCTAAACATAACTGCGTATCAATGCACTTTATATGGCGTCTGTCTTCCCAACTGGAAATGGAATCTTCCAGCAGGACATCATTTCATGTCACAAGGCTCGAAATGTGTTGGAGTGGTTCGAGGAGCATAAGAAGCATTCAGTTAATGTCCTGGCCACTTACCTCGCCTTAACCCGATACAGCATATTTGGGATGTCATGGAGCAGCAGCTCAAAGCTTAAACACCACTATGTAGGAATATCTCGACTTTCCGTCACCACTGTTCAGACATTTGGTACAACCTGTCTCTAGTCATCTACTTGTGGCATTCTAGCCAAGGCGACTTGCAGCTGTTTTAAACGCCAAAAGTCGCGCAAAGCGTTACTAAGTAGATGATCATAATGGCTCTTCAGTGTATATATAATAGTTTATTTTATATTAATATTATATTTATTTTTTATTAATGATGACCATTTCTGAGAGATAAATTTCATAAATGGTCGTCTCAGGCAGATGGTCGTGATTAGAGGTTTCACAATGGTTATTTACTCATTAATTGATTACTCTTTTATGATAATGATTTGAAAGAGCCATTCTGTCGATGTTGTAAGTGTTCGGCTGATAAACTCGAATTTTTTGAATGAGTATGAGGAGCGCAAATAAAAACAATTTAATTTCAGTGGTCTTAACACATTTAGTTTACTAAATGGCATGTTAAAGATATTAATTATCATTAAGAATCAGCATACATTTACAATACTATAGTTTCGAGAGCTAAAACAATATTCTTCTTCAGCTGCAGGAATCAAAATGACGGGTGAACTGCTACTAGAATTAAGCAAGAAGTTGGAATGATCCTATTCTTTGACAAAAGCTTTTAATGCATTTCACCTTTAATTAATAATTGAAAAATTATTGTTAAAGGTAATTTTAAAATGTAAAGTGTAAGAACTATTGCCCTCCCCGTACGTACTCTCGTGGTGTAAGTTGTTAGTAAGTATACCTATCATTGGAGATTCTTGTTTTGAATCCATGAGTTGAGTTAGATTTTAAAAAATGCAAAATTGAATTTAAAATATTGTCATCTTACATAAGAAAAAAAAATTACGACTCTTATCTCTGAGAATCAAGATTTACGCAAAAATATGTCACGATATATCTATGAATTTCAGAAAATTATGACATTTCATCTCCCCCTCCCCTTTTTATTCAAATTTAAATTTGTGAAAACCTTTTCGAAGTCAATTCTTATTTTATAGGGAAATTACTTACAAGAAATCTTCAGCATACGAGACTTGCAACGGATTAAATATTGAAAAAGTAGTATGGAACGGATATTAAATCCTATGTTTGTTCATTACTATTGTCTTCCCTATTTCACATGTATTTCTTCGTGTGTGCACTACATCAATATTACAGAGACAGTTGCGGTTGAAGTTAGCTCGGTGGTTATTTCTGCCGCTGGACCATGTCCATATTTTAGAGTACCTTGTTTCTACTATTTGCTTCCGTAAATATTAAAATGCAATGCAAATGTATTTCATTTAACGAAACTGCTTTCTTCTTTTTGCTAGTTAGAATGGTCCTGTATCCCATTGTTCCGTCTCTTACTTTAATTACCTCATTATATTATAAAACTATTATATTTTTCCAATCATATGAAGAATCAATGGGATACAAAATGCTTCGGTGCTAGAACTGAAAAGATGCAAAATATTACATGGCTCCAAAGTGGATAATAGAATTGCGGAAGTTCTACCCGAAAATGATATCCAGAATTTGCTTTCCAGGTTTCAATTCTGCCAATAGGCAAAATTAATAGTCGGTTCACGGGAATACACATATATTTTGCATTTGTAAGTACTGCCGTTCTCTCAAATGATTTACAAGTTTGTTACATTCATTTTGTATTCAGGCAAATACACGAAAATATATTACATAGAGTGGCAATACCAGGTAACTCTTAAAGCAATAACTTTAGTTAGTACATTAACCTGACAAGTTTTAGAAAACGTTTTAATAATTTCCAGCAAAATTGTCAAACAACAATTGAAAACATTTATGGCTATGTTATGCCAACATGTTTCTCTTAAAATATGGTCTGCCTTAAGAATAGAATTTTCTCTGACGTTCGTTAGTCTTTTTTTTTTTTTTTTTTTTTTTTTTTTTTTTATCTAGTGAATACGATTGCAGCCGTGGTTTTGAAAGTTTTGCTCCAAAGCAACAGAAATTTCTCGCAGTTACCAACCTTTAAATTAAACCTTTAAAAGTTTTTTTTTGTTAAAGAATAAACTTCGGCCAATATGCAGTACGGGCATCGGTTGTCTCAAAACACCTCTGAATATAATTTGTTACCGTGTTCGTAATTCGAGATACCGTTCGCCACCCGAGGGGTTTTTGTTTGGGTAAGTTGTTGATGAACAGAAATTTTCATCATTCGAAGTTCTACTGTAGTTAAATTATTCAGCAGATACCTACAAAAGTATAATACGTGTAATGTTTCAGCTATTTTTAAGGTCATTTAAAAATAGAATTGCACCAAATATTGAAATAAAGGCTTCAAATTATTTTTTCTCTATTTTAGGCCTTGCTTGTTGCAAAAATAAATATCTTCAAAATACTCCTCGTAAAAAAAGGTTTATTCAAAAAGTACTAATCATGGAAATACATCTCAAGCATTATATTCTACATTTGGAAGTTATATATGATTAGCAAAATACATTAAAAGTTCCATTGTTGAAGAGAACATCACAAGACACTACAATTTTTATTAAAAATTTCATTATTTATTAATAATTTTAAAGAAGATGAAAATATTCTAAGTATCCAAAAAATCCTTGATGTAAAGCGATCAACTATATTTGATGTTTTAAAACGACGGAAATTGAAAGGCATGGTTTAAAATGAAGTCTGAACCACATTTCAAGCTAATACTAAGGAATCGATGATTTAACTTATAGTAAAATCAAAATCAAGCATAACCAAAAAAAAAATAGTGCCGTAAAATTTGCAGCGGATTTAGAAGAACGGATTGCAATAAAAATTAACCTTGAAGTTCTTAGAATAATACATAAGACATAGGAACATATGGAGTAGGTAATCAGCAAGAAGGAAATTCGGTTTTTACGTATCATTAGTAACCACGTTAGTAGAAATCTACAAAGTTTCAGAATACGCTAAACTCTGATAACTACGCGCATAACAATTATTCAGGCAACCAATGCGCATGACAAATATTCAGTTTCCAACTTCGCCATTTTCGTATGCGTTCTTTTTGTTGTTTCAAAGTTCCGACGGAAAAGTTATGATTATTTTTGTCTTGAACTTGATTTTAAAATTTGTGCTTGTAGGAGTTTCCTATAATAGAAGAAACAGAGGTGAAATTTCTGCAAGACTACAGTATATTGCGGCAAAGTCGCTAAAGGAAGAATGCGATCGCTACGAAAATTATTTATCATCAAACCTGCTCATCATAACTTCACCAAATCCCATGTATACCGTATACTAGGATTAAACCTATGTTACGTTTATATAAAAATATAAAGAATAAGATTTAAATAAAAACGTCAACGCCTTTTCAATAAAAATCTATAATTTTAGTGTTTAGTAGGAACAGTAGGAAATATAGGAGGTTGCTTCAGTTTTGGTGAATAAAGCGACAATTATAAAAGGAATAGTCACTTAAATCTAGCAGCTATAGATATTTTTAACAGGAAAAAAGGGAAGAAGAATGCATCTTACCAAATTGAAGGTCTCCATTATAAACAGCACTCCGTGGCAAAGAAGATAATATCCAAATCTTGAAATCTTAAAAATTTTAATAAATAGATTCTCATGCTTCAAATTGAAAAGCTCAGAACGCGCTGCATAAACAAAAATGCGAGACCGGAGTTTAGCGATGTCATAAATGAGTAGTATTTAAAAGCTTGTGACGTCAAAATGTAATCTCGCATTTTGCACTATACATTTACTACTTTGGTTTTGCAAGAAATAAATATTATAAGTTGTTAATTTTCGATTAATATGACTGAATAATTCGGTTCTGCTATTTATTAAAATGGTAAACAACAAGTCTCGCGCACTTGTATTTCAGACAGCTTCAATAGTTTAAAAGAATTTTTAAGCTTTAACATTTTTTTAATTAAATTTTACACAGTAGAACCTTTTAATTCTACCAAATTTACGAATGATTTTATTGCTACACAACGTCATATTGCCTTATATACTACTGAAACTTATATATTACTGAAAAAAAGAAAACTAGGTTTTTAAGGCAAATGAACATTATACAAAATTTCGATTTCACAGTTTCTTAGATTCTAAACTGACATTAAGAACTCAACTTTGTCTTTGCGCATATTAATATTCCGCACGTTAATAACGGGTAAATATCTAATTGTTCACATAAAGGAAAAGAAGATACGAAAATAAAAACCACAAATTTGTTATAATACGCAATGTTTCAAACAGAAAATATAATATCAAGTGCAATAACAATAACAAACACCGTTTATTAAAATAATAACGAGAAGATATTTATCGAGGGCAAGTTTGCGATTTTAACGTCTCGACATTTATCTTAAAGATCATCAAATTACCGATATTTATCATAAGCTGGAAAACATTATCAATATACCAAAAAAAAAAAAAAAACGTAAAATCCAATTTAAAATATAAAAATAATAATTAAAATCACAATTTGCAAGTAATGCAACACAAATTGAAAATATAAAAAAGATACTTTAAGCATTACACATAATATACCATAAATTACATTTGTTCTTCCCATGTACACGACGATCTGTTTTCAAATTGAAATATAAAAAAGATACTTTAAGCATTACACATAATATACCATAAATTACATTTGTTCTTTCCATGTACACGACGATCTGTTTTCTCTTAAAATATTCAGAGAATTGCACAAACTCCGCCTCGTGTACTGCCTCGACATTGCGCACCAGCCATGATCACGATCTCCCAAGGAACGTTGTAACTTACACTGCAGTGTAATGAAAATAAAAGAAGTTTCCTGTTTTTAACCTTTCAAAAATAACAGATAGTAATCATAAATACAGAACAATTTTCGAGAGTGAAATATCGTACAACTCCAATGATTCGAGTTATAAATAAAATAACATTTTCATAAAAACGACAACGCCGAAAATAAACCTACCATAATGCCGTTACCTAACAATAAAAACAATTTATCCACAGACCACTAAAATCACGATTTTTTTTTTTTTTTTTTTTTTTTTGTTTACCCTTTCGCTCCAACTGATAAAAAAATCAAAATTCAGATAGTCACCCATCCTGCAGGAAACACCGAGATCAGACACATTCCTCAGTGATCAAAACGTTCTTTGAGGCAAAGAATTCTTTTCTGCATTTTGAGCAGGTACGGTTGTAAATTTTCAGTTATTCATTCAATTTTCAGTTATTATTTTCAATCATTAGTTAAATCGTCATAATGCATTTTTAAGCGCTGTGTTAAATGCTAACAATACCACACAACGCACAATAAAATAGATTTGTAATAGAAAAATCTCGCGCAGTAACATTATAAACCTAACATTTAAACTCAGTTGAAATATAATTTAAGTTTCCGTCAGTTATGAAAATGTAGTATAACTCTAACTTGTTTTTAGAAAGATGCGTAGCCAGTATTATGTCATTAAAATGCGTGTCCAAGCTTCAGTAACACAAGTAAACAACGTCCTGATTTGTGCAGCATCTTCTACGATTGATCCAATTCTGTTTACAGATTTCTTCTAAAATTTTATATCAGGAATAATAAAAGCGTAGACGCCCGAATAACGAATTCGAATAATCGAATGACACTGTGAAAAGTAATCTCTATAAATTTATCAAAAATGTCTCACTCTTTTATTATTAATGACGCAAAACTGTAGACACAGTTCTGGAAGAAAATTATTTAATATCTTGTTCCCAATAAACTATATAATAAGTTATTTTTCTTTTATTTCATTAATTATTTTATGGGTTTTGAATAAAAGCTTATTTTTAAACCTTTTTATTTTTTATTTCAGTTCTCAATAGTAATACCTAGACAATACTGAATTATTTTTAAACTGTCGAATATAATATAATATTGACTGCTAAGTGAAATTTACAGAATGTTTTTAAACAAAACCTTTTTTACTACGTGGGAAAAATTTATAAGCGAGTATATAAAAACCTATTTCATTTATTTATTTTTGACAAAGCAAAAATAAATGAAATTAAGCCTGAAAAAAGACATTTGGGGGCCTCGGATCATTTTCTGCAGCTGTCGTTACCATGGTTATGAGGCAAGAAGAGAGGGAGGGGAATGATCTTGAAGCACTTTTTCTAATGTAACAAATTATTCGAAAATTTCGTTTAGTGCATCTTGTCAGACGTAGTTCACTATCATACGTTTTTCCATGAGAATGCACCTGGTCTAATATGTAATACGACTTAAAAAATTAATTAGTTATTAGGAAGAGCTACACTTTTATCGTTTAACCTGAAATATAACAAAGTATTCGTCAGATATTGAAGTAGAATACATTGACCTTCGTTGTGCTAAGTTGCATTAATAGAAGCTGCTAGCGTTAAAATGCTCCAGACTGTAGGTTACTAGGTGTCAGTAGTTTTGCGTTTCGTGAGGTAAACAATGGCGTGATACCATTTCCACTCGAGAAGTTTCCCTTTATCTGTTGTTAGAAGTGTGGAAATAATCTACTGCCCCTTTCTTTTGGCTCTGTGAAGCTGCATTAGATTTTTTTATATATAATTTACGGCCTAAAGGGACTAGTCTCAAAATGGGATTTTGAGATGTTTCACTATAAACAGCGTTCAAATTGTTGCCACCAAATATTATCTCCCTGTATTATTTTTAACGAAAAAAAATATGAATCGTCTGTATTAATTCATATATGTTTCTCGCATTATGAAAAAATGAGGGTATATAGACTATCAAAATTTGAATTCTAAATTTTGAGTCGTCCACCCGAACTTGCGAACCTGGAGGCCCGAATTTTGAATTTCTGATTTGGGTTATCATTTATTTCATATTTTGTAAAACTTTAATAAATTTTTGGATTAACAAACTCGGAAACTCGTATGGCACTCGAAAAAATATATGATATTTTCAGTTTTTGTTAAGAAATTCGCCCAAGGTACTTTCAAATTTAATCTGAAAGGTTACTGAATAATAACCTAAGCGATTTAAAAGCAGTAACGCTGTTCTGAAGAGTATTTTGTTCTGCTTTTCAATGCAATTGATTTAAATCATGTATTATATGTTCATGTGAAATATAATTAGAATTATTCAATATTTTTATGAAATTAAACTAGCTGGACTTATTAAAATCATTATAAACTTTTCTTTTTTATGATAAGTATTTTACGGGGCTAGTTTTTAAAGAAATACTATAGCTAATATAAAAATATGTATGACAGCCCCCAACACTCTAGCAAGAATTCTGAAGATATGCTGTTTTTAAATATTTTGTGATTCTGCTGTTGAATTGAATTTTACATCGCGTATTTAATAAACATATTTAATAAATAAAGTTAATACATAAAAAATAATAATAAAAGGACAAAAAAATGTTTTTAGTCTGCTATCTTACTAAGAAAATTGAATACTGATAGGATGAACTGAAAAAAGACTGAAAGAATAGGAAAATGTATCTCAACGCTTAACACTGCATCGGGAAATTCTCAACATATGCTCCTTTTAAATATTTTTGTACTTTTGCTGTTGAACTGTATATGGCATAAATGCGACGAAAAAGATGCTAAAAATAATATATGGGTAAATAAAATAATGTATAAAAAATAATATAAATAAATAATAATAAAGCTAAAAGACAGCAAAAATAAAATAAAGAACGGTTACCAGGAATAAATTCAAGAGTAAAAACCTTAACCTTTTCAGCGACTGCTAAAATCTGAAACATTTCAGATTTTCTTTTTTTTTTTTTTAATTTATTATTTTCATTTTTACTTGCATTTGAAAGTGTCTGATCTATAATATAAATCTCGAATTTGAATTGCTGAAAGTGCACCCTAAAGATATAATTTAGGATCAACCTATCTGGTTTTAATCTATTTTTTTGAAACTTTGTCGTGTTATGCTAAATAAGCGTTTTTAATAAGGGAATTATATGAAAGAATTTGTACAGTTTGAAAAAATGAAAACATTTGAAATTAACAGAGTAACACGACTTATTTGATAGCGGTATAGATTTATTTGTCTAAACCCTAGTTACACAAAGTAATAGCAATCGATGCTTTCTCGAATAAATAAAAATCATAGCCTATTTTTTTCACCATTTTGTTCTGAAGTTTTGAATAGGTCATTTTAAACGTGAAACGTTATTTCTATACCTTTAATTTTTAGGTTATTCTATACCTTTAATTTTTTTCTTGAACTATAAGACTCAGCATAACTGCTCGGATCAAAATCGTTTCATGTGTTAACGTAAAATCAGCATTAATTAAATTGCGATTTCTTTTTAATCTCATAATTTCCCTTCTTTTTTAAAGATATATATTTTACGAAAGTTTTGGAAATTTAATTGTAAACTCTGAAATTTAATTTTTAGATCGCAGTATTTTCCGGGGGAGTGTCTTTCACTACTCCAGGAGTTCTCGACCAGGGGGAATAACCACTAAGCTGAATTTCATAGTTCCGGCGGAGGGGGAATGCGGTCAGCCTTTTATTTACCTGTTAAATATTTAGCTTTAGTTTATGAATATAAAAAATGCTGCTATTCAAGTTTTCATATTTATGAATATTTTGTACACTTTTCTTGCTTAATTTATGAAACATATTAAAAAATAATAAATGTATTTTTTGAGGTTT